CTGCTAGGTCTGCTAGGTCTGCTAGGTCTGCTAGGTCTGCCAGGTCTGCCAGGTCTGCTAGGTCTGCCAGGTCTGCCAGGTCTGCTAGGTCTGCCAGGTCTGCCAGGTCTGCTAGGTCTGCTAGGTCTGCTAGGTCTGCCAGGTCTGCCAGGTCTGCTAGGTCTGCTAGGTCTGCTAGGTCTGCTAGGTCTGCTAGGTCTGCCAGGTCTGCCAGGTCTGCTAGGTCTGCTAGGTCTGCTAGGTCTGCTAGGTCTGCTAGGTCTGCCAGGTCTGCCAGGTCTGCTAGGTCTGCTAGGTCTGCTAGGTCTGCTAGGTCTGCCAGGTCTGCCAGGTCTGCTAGGTCTGCCAGGTCTGCCAGGTCTGCCAGGTCTGCTAGGTCTGCTAGGTCTGCTAGGTCTGCTAGGTCTGCTAGGTCTGCCAGGTCTGCCAGGTCTGCTAGGTCTGCTAGGTCTGCTAGGTCTGCTAGGTCTGCCAGGTCTGCTAGGTCTGCCAGGTCTGCTAGGTCTGCTAGGTCTGCTAGGTCTGCTAGGTCTGCTAGGTCTGCCAGGTCTGCCAGGTCTGCTAGGTCTGCTAGGTCTGCTAGGTCTGCCAGGTCTGCCAGGTCTGCCAGGTCTGCGTTGTGATATATTGTGCGCCTTCATTCCCGCCGCGCTGAGTCTCGATGGCCCCGCAGTAGAGCTTCTTTCCGCGAGATGGCAGGTTGTCCCAGCAGTCGTCCGAACTTGTGTTGTGAGGGCATCTGTGGCCGTACTGTAAGCCGTACTGTGGCGACGAACTCCCGAACCAATCGGAGGACAAGAAAAAGCGCAAACAGCAGGTGGTGCTTGGGAAACGATATTCTATAGGGACTGGTGGTAAGACTCTTGGACAGTTCATATTCAAACGTTCAGGAAAATAGCTGCGCACCGTATGCGCAAACATCTTCCCGTCCCTCCCGTCTAAGTTAGGCAGCACCCGGCAGCTGGCCCAACGCCAGAGCAGCCAAACACCACCACAAAGCTCTGCCACCCGCTGTTGTATTCCAGTCGGCTCAGAAACTGTAACCCTTCCACACGACAGCTTTACATCTAGAAACCCAACGCAGGTTGCCAAAACACCAGCGATGAGCAGAGACACGCACGCCCCTAAGAATCACCAACGCCATGTCCTCTTTCAATCTCCTGTCCAAAAATTGCGGTATACGACTCAAATCAATCCTCAGGTGCGTGGTCGTGATGAACCTGTCAATGAAGGCCACTCGAATATCGCAATATCACAAAGCAATCCTCAACCAACAGCGCAATAAGGAACACCGAATCACGTGCATGGGTGCTTAATGCAAAGGCCGTCGTACAAATGCGTACGACACCATACATGGCGACCGCCATTGGGCGGAGGATTGCGCAGGGTTGCGCCATATGCGGGTGCATGTCTATCTGTATGTATGCACGCGTGGCAGACGTAAGGAAAGACCCGGGTAAATTACCGAACACATGTACATAACCTATATTTTGTTTATGTATTTATGTGTGCACGCACAGGTCATTATGCCCCATTCTCCCTCCGCCTTATCTTCCCCATCCCAACTCTCGCCGTCCCCGAAACCAAACCAATCCAAACTAATCAAGCCACACACACACACCCTTTCACCTACCTCCCGGCGTCGCAGGTCCCATCCTGCATCCCAGTGTCCGCAGTATGTATGTCCATATGGCCACGCCTATGCTACGTCCCGTCCCCAAACCCGTCCAGAGCTTTGAAATTATTTGGGCCTTCTGATCTCTCTGACCTCATCTCTCAACCACCTCTTGTGGCTGTATTTTCAGGCTATACTAAGGCTGTATCTCCGCCCCTCAACTCGTTCCTTTTTCCTTTCCCCGACCACCTGCCGCACAGCCCTCGCCTTCTCTTCACTCTCCTACGCTCTCCCCCGCTCTCTTCTTATTGACATATTACTATTATAATTTATTATTATTCCAGATTTCCGGAACCCAGCTCGGAATTGTACGGAAAAAATGTACGGACCCCGGCGTCCTGCTGCTATGCGCCTACATGCCTCAACATGTCCAACAACATTAGGTTCCAACAAACCCTAAGTTAAACCACAGCCCTAAAACCCCATCAGCTACCCACCACTGCTGCTGCTTCCCGCAACCCGCCGGACACACCCACCATTCACCCACCATCATCGCCTCTCACACAGCATCACACCGCATGTCTAATACCTTCTACCCTTCACCCCGCATTGCATGGGTGTCATTTCCCTTCCCTCGTCATCCGATAGGAAGCATTGACGCCTTTCCCACAACCATCACCACCACCATCACCACCCGGTGGGGTCGCAGGGGTCACAGGAACCCCCCCTGACGCCAAGGGCCACCAGAGAGCATTCCCTGGAGTCGGGGGCTCCCACCGCCGCCGCCGCCGCCGCCGCCAGCTCCCCGCGGCGGCGAGTCCCCGTCCAAGGACGCCGTCGGGACACTGAAGGTTAGCGTTTGGGGCGGCTGCTGGGTGGCACTCCAGCCACCCGGCTGGGTGGTGGCGCGCTGCAGCCCTGCAGGCGGGTGGTGGCTGGAGTAGGTGAAGGCGGAGGAGTTAAAGCTGGAGCTGTAATTGCGGTTGTAGGAGCGGCCGCCGCCGGCGCCGCCGCTGCCGGCAGCAGCAGCCACGCTAGCAGCAGCAGTCGCGGCGGCGGCTGCAGCCGCCGCAGCCGCAGCCGCTGTTGGCGGCCGGGTGCCTGCCGCTGCTGAGGAGCCAGGACAGTTGGAGGAAACGGCAGCGGCTGCTGCCGACGTCGTCGCCGCCACCGTCGCCACGGCCGTACGCATGTTGCCGACGTCGGCGTGAAGCAGTTTGAGTGTGTCCTGCACCTCACGGAGTTCCTCCACCAATCGTGCCTCGGTCTGGAATATATAGTGTATGGTTCCGGAGCGGGGAAATAGGGAGGAGGGCCGGCAAAACGGTGGGGAGCGGAGAGGGGGGTGAGCGAGGGGAGGGGGGAAAACACACAAGCAGGTGCACACTAGGCAGCTCAAATCTGGACCAGACAGACACACGGTGTATGTGTGTGGTAACGTGGCGTGGAGTTAGGGTTTTGGGAGGAGCTGCTGGTTTTTTACCAGCCCGGTATTACGGCCGCATACATGGCTGGGCCCCAAAGGCGCTCTGCTTGCCGTACTCGCCGCTGTGCTAACGTACCTCAACCTCACCTTCCCCACACAAACTCTCAGCCCGCTCCCCCCTCGCCTCCACAGCATCACACAATACCAAACCACACACCATCCACCTCAACCGAAATTGCTCCATGCCGTTTGGCCCCACCTGTCGTACAACATTTCATGCTTGCCGTACAGCCATCCTCTTTCCCAGCTTCCCCCCCACACCTTGCTTAAATCGGTGTTCAGCGCGTGCCGAGCCAGAGGGCCCCGGAGGCTCTCCACAAGCGTATCGTCTCCTCGTCTACCCCCCGAAGTATCCACCTAGGGTGGGGTGGTGGTGGGAAGGCGTGTGTGTGTGTGTACGTGTGTGTGTGTGTGTGCGTGTGTGTGCGCGTGTGTTTGCGTGCTTGCGTGTGTGCGGGGGTGAGGGTTTGAGGGGCGATGCGAAATATTTGCAACGGACTGCTCGCAAGTGAAATCATGCACATACACACACATACCCGCTACCCGTCACTCGTTGCTTGCTCTTCGTGCGTTCATGCAAGCGATGCTGAGTCCCAAAACGGTAGTGGACATTTGGTTTGGGTTTTTGAGGGTTTGAGGGTTTTGATTTCTTTGCCCCTGGTTCACCCAGACATTCCCTTCCCCCTCTCCCTCCTCGCCGTTGCCCTCTTCCGAAGGCTCCAGGGATGCTCTCTACACGCAATGGATCCTTTTCGCTATCTGTATTCCGCACCTTTAAGCAATGAAGCCAGCGGGGGCAGGACCTGCGTATATGTGTACGAATACATGTACGGGTATAGCATGCAGATTGGGCGGGCATGTACGGCAAGGGTTTAATGTCTGTTCGGGCTTCGGGGGTCAGGGGGAAATACGCTTGTGGCGGGTGCTTGAAAAGGCTTTACTGCAGACTCACAAACCCTACAGTAAAACATTTGGGCGTTACCTGGGGATAGGGAGGGGAAACGGTGGCTATGGTGGTTCATATTTACGGTTGTGCGTGTCACAAATCGCCCCCTGCCGTTTCCTTCTCCTTTCCCAACCCCCACCCAGAATCCTAAGCCCCGTGGGGCCCCAAAATTATCCTTCCGAAGTCAAAAAACCAATAAAAACACGACTTCCCTCCAAGCCCCAGTTCTCCCCAAGCTCCCCAACGACCCAAATGCCCATACACGCGCCTCTGCATGTCCTTGAAGAACGCATCCGGCAGGCTGCTCTCAATCTCCAAAATCAGCTTAGCCCTCAGCAGCAGCCACTCGGATCGGGCGTGCTCCTTCACAACGCTGGGGAGAGGGGATCGTATGCGAGCGGGGTGGGGAAATCAGGGGAATGACAAAAGGGAGGATCGAAGCGGTGGAGGTGGCGGGAGGCGGAACGAAGGAGGGACAAGGAAGGCGGAGGTGGATGTGGTAAACAAGGCAACGGGGGGTGGTCGGGAGGGGTCGGGAAGGGTTGGGAGGCCCTCCTGGGATGGAAAAAGAGAGCGGTTTGAAGGTTGGTTGGTTGTAAGTTGTTGTGCTGTTGCGCAGGGAGGAGGGAGAAGAGGGAGGAGGGGGGTGATGTCATCCTGTGGTACACGTTAAACCTATGACAACACACACATATACATATCAGAAACACGTCATCCACTCAGTACTCTTCGTCGTTCGATGCACACGTTTGAGATCGTGCGGTTTGCAGATTGTTGTACCTGTAAGTGTCACTCATGACTGCCACCAGCAAGTTGAGCAGGATGACGGTGATGAGGAAGGTATACGTCAGCATCAGGACCTGGATCCGGGGGTCGGGAGATAGGGCGGGAAGGAGATGGATGGGGGTGGGGGTGGGGAGTGAGCGCTTTTTAAAACACGGCATACACGCACATGCACGCACATGCAGGCACATACACGCACATACACACACATGGACAATTTAAAACCTACGTCCACAGCTTCGTTGGAAAATCCTAACACGTCGCTGGTGACTATGGAAGTCGCTTTAGTAAGCGTTGTTCATGTACAACCATTGGAATATGTGAAGGTAGATGGTCTGGGGAAAACAATGATGATGAAATTTCACTATAGCAAACTTTAGCCGGTAAAGTCCCTAAATCGTACAGTACGGCGCACGGTACGGCACCTGCATCCATGGCCGCCAGGAAAAGTCCGTAGCTACCGTGTGGTCCATCTGACCGATGACTCCGAACCTGTTGAGATGGCGGTGGTGGGAATGGGGGTTGGGTGGGGCCAGGGAAGGAAGGAGGGAGGTGTCTTACGACACGCCTTTGGGCGGCGGTTGGTAGTGACGGCGGTGACAACTGCGGAATGCAGTCCCAGTCAGGGCACCGGCAAGGGTCCTTGAAGTGAGCTGCATATTGAGAAACGATACACCATATAAACACTACATATATTTGACTGACTTCCCAATGGAATCAAATCCCCTCCTAGATCCCCTTCGCAACCTTCCTACACATACGGCACGTCGTACATCCCACGTCGTACACACTTACGCGTAAGCGGTTACGATGGAATTTCCCAGCGTGTCAAATTCCTTGCCTCTGCGGTTGGTCTCGCCCGGAGCCAAATCGAATGACATGATCTGTGCGCATGTGCGTGTGTATGTATGCATGGTGGGGGAGAGGGAGAGGGGTTTAGCGGGGGTTACTTGACTGGGGAAAAGGACATTGGCGGTTAGCGGTTAGCGGTTTCACGGTACGGCGGTGATGCAACCGGTGGGCAGCCACTCCACCCGAGTCCACCTCCGGGAGATTTGCGGGGTCAGGGGGAAGCGGTGTGTATGTGGTGGCGGTGGGGTGGTGGGGTAGTGAGGTGGTGGAATAGCGAGGGTGTGCTTGTAGGGCCCCTGCCCCACCTCCAACCAACCAGTGCCCCTACCTGCCAGAACGCGATGCTGAATGTGAGCACCAGCACCACCAGGATCAACATGAAGAAGCGCAAGTTGGAAACGATGCGGAGCAGGGCCTGACGGGGATGGGGGGGAAAAGGGGGCGAGGGCGGTTAGGAGGAAAACCACTGACTTGGGCCAGAGAGGGGCTCTCGCGCCTTGGCCAGGTATTGTTACGCTCCCTGCTTCGCACCTTTCCGCTTTCAGCGAGAGTGGATGGTTTCAAAGGGTGTGGGGAGGTCGGAAGGCTCAAGTGAAGCTGTGCTGGAAAGGGCGCTACTAGCACCCTCATTAGTAATGTGGGGGAAAGAGGAAAAGGGCGCTTCCAAACTACGGGGTTACACGAGAAAAAAAGCATGAGTAAAAATAATTTACTAGCTAGTATTGACGTATACGAACCTGACATCAACAAAAACCAGGCAAAAAAAAGACGCGTACGAGAGGCGTAATGTTGTACATCAAGAACGACATGTAATCATGGAAAATGTACGGTGCACATGACTACGTGTCGTACATCGTACCTGTACGAATACGCCAGTATGCTCAGGCCCTGACGCCACCTTGAGTAAACGGAGACCCAACAGAATGGTGGTGAGGGACATGGCGAAACGACTGCCACCCTCAAAGCCGCCCAACTGGACGGTGCATCACAAAAACACGTACGAAAGTGCACAGTACGTAGTACGACATGTCAATACCGGCATGTTTACATGTTTACGTGTTTACATATGTTTACATTGTCGTCAGCAAGTGACGACGTCACCCAGGCGCCTGGACCCTCACTACTTCCATTTCCTAACATCGCTGCTTTAGCGTAAACTTTAACAATGTATTGTTTGTGCGAATGTTTCGGCAGTGAATAAGCGTTGGCCACACGTAAGGCAATCGTACGGCACATCCCAATAATCGCGGCACGATGACATTACCGTACATATGTGACCCCATTTCCGCTAGGAACGCTACGCATTAGATTCGCAAGCACTCTCCTCCCCACGGCCCCTCCCCACGGGCCCTCCTCCAAACCTGCCTGTAGTCCGAAGGTGAGCAGCAGTCCGAGACAGGAGGACATCTCCAAACCGTTCCAGCTGCCCTGGCTTCCCGCCAAATACATATACCAGCCCGCGTTCATAATCTGCGGGGTCATGAGAATCAGAGAGCGGCGCCACGGGGTGGTGTTGGGGGGAGGTGCGTGATGGCAAAACCCCTGCCACACGGTCCAGACACGACGTAAGCAGGACACGGCACGAGGGGGTAGTAGAGAAGCTGGAAGGGACGATGGGGAGGGGAAGGACATCGGGGCCGCTGCATGTATAAGAAGGTTTAAAGAAAGGGCTGGGAGGGGGAGATGAGGAGTTGGGGGAATGGAGAGAGGTGGATGGCGGGACTATCAGTGCTGGTGTCTGCCGCGGCGGGACCCCAGCAAGGACCCCCTGGAAGGGGACAGCTTGTTGGCCAGGGGCGCGGTGCAGACCGCAGGAAG